TCGCCAAAGTCGAAGGAGAGCTTGACGTGGCTGTTGCTGTTGTTGGTGACGGTAAAGGGGAGGGAGCGGAACTGGCCCAGCGCAACGCGTTCAAAGTCAAAGTCAGCGCGGCTGATGGCAAGCTTGATGGGCACAACCTGGCCCGTGATGATGTGCTTGAGGGTGTCGTTTCCCTTGATGTTGACGACAATGGTCGCATCAAACTTGCCAACGCGTGTTGGTGCACACGTCACGCGCAATTCACGGAAGGAGCGCGCTGGCACATATCCGCTGGCGGGCGTGATGGACACCTCAGACAGCTGTCATCGAGACGTTGGCACAAGGGAAGGGGAGAGAGATGAGGGAGTGTGTGTGAATCGGGGTTGTATGCGCGTGTGAGTGTGAATGTGATTTCACATTAACTGTGCCTTCATGCAAAAAGCAGCATTTGAAGCGAAGCGGGTCGGATAAACGCACGAGAGAACCGCAACATGACAGGAGAAGGAAGAACAACACCACACTCACGCGCGCACATGCACACACATGCACACACATACACACATGTACACACATGTACACGCGCGCCCACCTTGAACTGGCTGTAGACGTCGACAATCTGGAAGTAGGCATCGACAGACCCGTCGTTGTAGAGGCGGGTGGTCTGGGCTGCGCGCGAGTTCTGACTGAGAGACCCAAACGATGTGCGACTCTGTTTGAAACTGCACCGCGAATGCGCAAACGACGCGCGACACGCAACCGTCTGGTGGAGGAGGGCGATGTGTATGAGGAAGAGGAAGAGGAGGTGTGTGTGTGTGTGTGTGTGTTGGAGCGCCGATGATTGTGAGGGTAGTTGAAACGCCGCGAACGAAAACCGCAACGGACATATGGAAGCGCACCACAATCGCAGCCAACGGCAGCATTGCCAGCCACTTCATGAACAAACGCACACAGACACACACACAGACACACACACACAGACACACAGACAGACAGACACACACAGACAGACAGGCAGACAGACAGACAGACAAATACCGCATGAAGCGTACCTTGACCTCGTCGCTGTGCTCGACATTGAGGCGAAGTGTGTACTGCGTGTTTGTGTCGTACGCATCAGGGCTGAGCGTGACCTGCGCCTTTGCCGTGGACAGCGGCCCAAGCACACCCTCCGCTGCCAAGGCGGTGCCATCAGGCAGTTGCAGTTGCAATTGCAAGGGAGGAGGTGAGCAGAGGGTGAATGTGATGAGAACAAAACCAGCTGTGGGAACCATGTGCGCTTGTGGGCGAGATGGCGGATGCAAAAGTACACATGACCGAACGAAAAAAAAAAAAAAAAAAACGAACCAACAACCAGAACAAAACACTCACGTGGATCGACGCGGAATGCGGTGACATCGTCCACGGGCTGCCCTGCTTTGACCGCCGTTGCCTCCCAATAGAAACGCGCGTCGCGCCCAAACGGATTCGTCACAGACATAAACGTGCAGGGGCGTGGCTGGCGGACACAGGATCCGCAGGACAGTTTGATTTCGGCCCTGTCGACTTGCAGTTCAAACGGGACCACCTCTGCCTGCACGGGGATGTGCAACTCGTGGACTTTGTTCACCAGTAGCACCACCGACGTCTTCAGAGAACGCGGCTGTTCGTGCGTGAATGAGAGTGGGTGAGAGTGAGTGAGTGGTGAGTGGTGAGTGAGGGTGAGGGTGTGGACGTCTTGGGCGGGATGAGGCCGGAACAGCAAGAACAGGCTTGAATGAGGCGGTGGAATGACCAGCATCACACACACACACACACACACACACACACGCACACACGCACACACACACACACACGTACGGTTTGGTGGTCGATGTTCTGCATGTTGACGGTGATGGTGGCAACTTCCCCCGGCTGCACTGTTGTGGGCGAGACAGTGGCTGCAAACTCAGACCGCGCACAGCCAACCTGCAGCGTCAGCTCCGCCGCCAGCGTGTTGTGGAAGGTGATCTTGCGCACAAGCTGCGAGTACGCGCAGACGCGACCAAAATCGATGTTGTCTTCGGGCAGAAACTCCAGCTGCTGCAGATCGCGTGGTGCAATCGCAAACGTGGGCGTTTTCGTTGGTGCCGGACGGAACGATGACGTGCGCTGCTTCACGCGTTTAGCAACAGCGCGGCTGGTGGGCGTGGCCGGGGTTGTGGTCGTCACCTGGATGGTGGGCAGGGGTCGCAGGCGCGCACTGCGGCTGGCCTTGCGCATCTGCGTTTGAGAGTAAAGGCTCCGTTGGATGTTGCCCGTGTCCAGGGGAGCGTTCTTAGGCATGTGGCCCTCCGGAACTGTAAATGTGTTGATGCCGTATTGATGGTGGTGGTGGTGGTGGTGGTGGGAAAGGGAGGTGAGGATGGGTGAAAATGAGAGGTCTTGTGCTGTGCTGGTCTGCATGAGTCGTGCATCCACCGCAGTCACATGCATACACGTGCATTCACACACAGCGCATACACACACTCGCACACCTGGCTTTGCACTGAAGCGGGACATTGTTCGTCTCGCCGAGCGCAGTGCCAACTCATCGCGCCGGCCCATCACTCCAGTGCCGTCAGCCTGACAGTGATGGTGACAGTGATGGTCGTAGTAGGACGAGTGATGGTGGCGTGAATGGCAGCACAAGGTTCTGGTGCGCACAGATACACACATACGCATGGGTACACGAATGCACACATACACACAGAGATACACATAGCAGCGCGCACATGTGCGCATATGCAGCCAAGCAATCAACAGGAGGCACCGACGCACGAGGATGGAAGCCTTGACGGTGCCGTGGCCAATGTTGACGGCGAGGTTTGTCCTGAGACGACCAGGCTGGTGGGGAGTGAATGCAACCATGATGTCCGCTGTCTGCCCGGGGAGGAGGAGCCCTTTGGCGGGCGAGGCGCTAAAGTGTGCAGCGCGGTCCACATCGTAGGAGAGAGGCAGCTGCTTGGACGTGTTGCCGAGCGTCACAGCCATCTCCTGTGATGCGAATGTGGTGGGTGCAAACACGGGGGAAGGGGGGGGGAGGGAGGGGGTTGTGAATGAAGTGATCAGCAAAACAACAAGCAGCACACATCCTCTCGCACACACACACATATGTACATATACATATACATATACATATACATATACATATACATATACATATACATATACATATACATATACATATACATATACATATACATATACATATACATATACACATGAACACACTAATGCACATGCACAGACACGTCGACACGCAACCACACTCAAGCACATCACTGTGCAACGAGAGGCCAGCGCACCTGTTTCTCGCCAACGAGGCAGTCGTCAAACTTGAGGATTGTTGGGGCGAGCGTAAACGTGGGCACAACAGCAGACCCCGTAAACTCAATCTCGTGTGCCAGGGATGTGTTCAGACCAATCAGCTTGAACTTGCAGCGAAAATCGCGCCGCGCGGCATACGGCAGCTCGTGCCAGTTTGGCGCCTGCAGCTCTTCCACGGAGAGCGACGGCTGGAAGATGAACGAGCACACGCGTCGCTCGTTTGTGGTGAGGTGGCCGTCCACCGGCACTGGCGCGACAATGTCGGAGGCGCTGGCGTAGGAGAAGCACGGCTCACGGCCGTTGGCGGTGTACAACCACGCGTGGTGGCTCACGGGCTGCACGACAAACATGGTGTCGGCGGGCCTGTCGTTGACAATGATGACCTTGAAGGGGCGCTCTGTGCCGTAGTAGATGCACCCGAGGTCATGCGATGTCACCCGCTTGCCCGTGACGGGATCGGCGAGATAGAGCGACTGGCCAAGCACGCTGGCTTGGATGTCGAGCTCCGTCTGCACCTCATCGCCCACGAGCACGCCCAGCTGTTCGCAGCACATGTCTGTGCCTGTCGCTGTGAACTCCACGCGCAGCATCTGGTCATCGCCCTCAGTGCCGGCGGGCGCCAGCGTGCCAGACTCTGGGATGACGCGAAGACGCTTATCGTGCAGCTCTCTTGTCAGGAGGCGAAAGGGGGCCGGTGCGTTGCCGGCGTTGACGAGGCGGGTCCACTTGGTGTGCACCTCCCCATCCTCCATCACGTCGCCAAAGTCAACGGGCGCATCCACCTTCACCTTCGCACGCGGGGCCGTGTACACCACGGGCACCTGGAACTCCATCTCGCCGTCCACGAAGAAATGCACAGCATCCTCAAGCTCCTGGCTCACGTGTGTTGCAACGTCCACATCAATGCTCTGCAGTTGAGGTTGGGGTGAGGAGGGCATACGTAACGTGCAGTGTTGTGTTGCGTGAGGAAATGACTGCGTGCCGTGTGTGCTTGTGTGCGCGTCGCATGCGCGTGTACTTGTCTGTGCTTGTGTGTCCGTACTTGCTTGCGGTTGTATGTGTGTGTGTGTGTGAACATGTGCACACAAGCAAGTTGTGGGTGCATGCTTGAGCATGCATGTGTGTGTGTGTGTGTGCGTGATGATGGTCAAGTGGGAAGCTGGGTGGGCTGCAGAAACCGCACCACGCCAGGGGCGAGCTGAACAAAGTCTGCCTCTCCCTTGACAAAAGCAGCCCGCACATCCTGCAATATGTGCGAGAGAGGAGAAAGGGTTACGCAACCGTGAGGAGAGCAAGCGTGAGCTCCACGCGACAATGCATCAACCAATGTATGCTCTGACGTGCAGGTAACATGTGAGCGTCGAGTACAGTTGACAAAGAAGAACCTTGGAAAGATCTTGTGCCAGCTCTACTCGCACGATGCGAGGCCCGACGTTCTGCAGCGTGATGCGTGATGTTGTTGCTTCCTGCTCAAGATGGGTGGTGTTGTGCTGGATGTGAGATGGGCGTGCATGCATACGCGCACAAATGTGCCCATGTGTACTTACATTCGCTTGTGCGTGCGTGCGTGCGTGTGTGTGTGTGTGTGTGTGTGTGTGTGTGCGTGCGTGTGTGTGTGTGTGTGTGCGTGTGTGTGTGTGTGTGTGTGTGCTGTGCATGGGGGGAGGGGAGAGCTGTGGGCGAGAAGGGCGAGCAGGAAGCGCATTTATGACATCATTGCAACCGCCATCGACTAACCGGAATCAAGCTGTCGTGAACGATGGCGGCAGGCTTCGCCCTCAGTGGCGCCTCCATCGCTGCTTGTGTGGCTGTTGCTGCGAATGAGGGCCGGCCGTGCCTTGCTCTCTAAACCGCACTTCCTTCGCGATCACAGCGATGTTTCCTGTCTCACACAGTCTCACTTGGGCGGTCGTTGGTTTGCTTCTCTCAACAAGAGACGCGTCGTGTTGTGTGGCTGCAGTGTGTGTTTGTGTGGTTGTGGGTTGATTGGAGTTGCCAAGAACGAGGCAAGAATTGGCGATTGCTGAATGATTTCCAACACTTTTCCGCATTGGTTGCCAACCAAACGACACAACGAAAGCGATGGCAAAGAGAGTGAAAAGGTGTGTTGTGTGTGTGTGTGTGTGTGTGTGTGTGTGCTGTGTTGTGCGTGTGTGTGCGTGTGTGTGTGTGTGTTGTGTGTTGTGTGTGTGCAGGGTTGGAAGGGTCAGCGAGGCAGGGGAAGGTGCACCAAACACAGACACATGCAGATGTATCGACGTCCACGCACACAGTGCACACACACACACACACATTGAACGTGATCTTACTTGTGCTTGTGTGTATTTCGTGTGAGTGCAGCAGCCGGCCCAAGTCCAGTGCTGGCAAGCCAGGAGGTGACGATGTGTCGTCATCAGGCTCTGCAACCTTCTTTCCAAAGTGGACAGAAGCCGATATCCTGGCAGAACGCTGGAGCGTAAGTCTCACTGCGCCATTGCTGATGTCATGCCGTCCCCTGGCAGCCGCATCTTGCCAGATGTCTGTGCCACACACACACACACACACACACACACACACACACACACACACACACACACACACACACACACACACACACACACACACACACACACACACACACACACACACACACACACACGCGCGCGCGCGCACATGGAAATATGTAATGACCCCTGCTCACCTGAGTGCATGTTGTGCGGTGTGCTGGTATTCAGGCCGATGCTGCCAAAGGCAAAGACAGAACAAAGGTAAGACGGGCTGCTCTGCGCACCTGCGGTGATGTGTTGCGCACACTGCGTGAAGTGTGCTTGTATGGTGTTCACATGGCGTGTACCTGCGTTGCCTTTGCTGCAGTGGCCCTTTGAGGACCCCCTCGGCGTGACACCCATGCCGCGAAGTCTGGAGGTATGCAAAGACCTGTACAAGTGTACATGCGTGTGAATGTGTGTGAAGTGGGTGTGTTTGGGTGCATGTCACTGTGCATGTGAGCGCGCGTGTGTGGGTTTGTGCATATGTGTAGGCACGCCACATGCGCATGCGCTGCTATCCAGACACGGGCTGTCCTCCCTACACTGACCACGTGCGCCTGCGTTGCATGCCATAGGACGCTGTATCACGCTGGCGACGCATGAGCGGGCCATCCACGGCGCACATGGTGGCCCCGTCTCGCTTCCGTCCCGTTCCCGCCTTTCGCGTCCTCGCAAAGAGCGACCAGCTCTGGCTCAGAAAGAAGCGCATGAAGTTTGTCGAACGCACAGAGGTGTGTTGTGTGCATGTGTGTATGTGTGTGCATGAGCGTGTCGACGTGTGTGCATGAGCGTGTCGACGTGTGTGTGGTGTGTGTGAGTGTGTGTGTTGACGTGTGTATTGTGTGTTGTAAGTGTACTGTGTCGTGTGGGTACATTGTATCGCTGTCGTGTTGGCTGCCCGCCTTGGCCCTTGTCAACGTTTGGGTTGCAAGCTGCCTCGTGATCGTTGGCTGATGCTGTTTGTTTGTCTTCATCCCTCTCCTCTGGTGTGCAACGTGCTCAGGAGCCATGGGTGTCGTTGTATCACAAGAGCCAGCACATCATGGAATCTCCGGTAAAGTCGATTGCATATGTGTGCGTGCGTGTGTGTCATTGTCTCGCTTGCTCATGTTGGCCGCAAGAACCGGTGTGACACCTCTCCTTCACCTGCGTTGGAGTTGTCATCTTACATGTGGTTCCATCCATTCCATTGCATCGCGTGTGTGCATTGCGTGGACAGCTGATGCGCGAGATTATCTCTGCTCTCAGTTTCCTACAGCGGCCGCCACAAGGCAGTGGTAAGGGAGGCGGCGGTGCTGGTGATGTGCCTCCTTGTGGTTGCTTCAAATGTGACGCTGGCCAGCAGTCGCCACAGGTCGCTTGCTCACTGGCGCACGGACACACACACACACACACATACGCACACATATGCACACACACACACACACACATACGCACACATACGCACACACACACTCACACTCACACTCACACACACATATGCACACGTACACCCCCCCCCATATTAGAGGCGCACACGGTTCGGCCGTGGCATCTGGTGCACCCGCGGGGAAAGGACGGGCAGGCGGCGGCCAACACAACCGGGGGCAAATACGCCGTCAAGCTCTTCTGGCTGGTGAGCAAGCACCCCTCTGGTTACTGGTGCTGCTGCTGGAGGTGCTGCTGGTGGTGATAGCATCGTGTTGTGAACACGCTTGTGATGAGGGCCCAATCTGTCGTCGTGTGTGTGTGTATGTGTGTGTGTGTGTGTGTTATGCATGCCCTCTTTTCCTCGTACACGGACACTCACATACGTGCACGCATGTACGTGCACGCATGTACGCACATACACGCGTATACGCACAAACAGGGCCACTGGCGCAAAGTGGTTGTTGACGATGTTGTGCCGTTTGATGCGGAGAACAGAATTCTTCTTCCGCAGAGCACTGAGCCCGAGCTGTGGCCCATCATCGTCACAAAGGCCCTTCTCCGCATCGCCTCCCTCTCATTCGACCTCAGGTCCGCGCGCGTGTTGTTTGTGTGTGTGTGTGTGTGTGTGTGTGTGTGTGTGTGTGTGTGTGTGTGTGTGTGTGTGTGTGTGTGTGTGTGTGTGTGTGTGTGTGTGTGTGTGTTCGTTCTGTTGCGACAACACGCCCGCTTGTCTGCTGTGCGAATGCTGACCGCACCGCCACCACCTCCACCACCACCATCATCTCACATCAACCACCATCACCACTACGAACGACACCAGGCCGGGAACGCCCGAGGCTGGGCAGTTCAACGTGATGGCTGCTCTCACGGGCTGGTATCCCGTTGTCTACAGGCTCCTTCCATCAATGTCAGTCATGCAAGCGCACGCATGTACATGCCCCTATATGCGTGTTTATGTGTGTGTGTGTGTGCTTGTGTGCGCGCGTACTTGTATCTTACACGGTTGATGCTGGTTGCTTTCAACAGGACGGAGCAATCGCGTGCGGCGATGATTGCACGTGTCAATGCACTGTGCACGTACAGTCGCCTGACACAAGATAAGGAGGACCTTGTCCAGGACCCCAGGCCCCAATGTTCGTGCCCTGTTGTGGACACGTGCAATTGTGAAGGCGCGCACAACACGTGCGCTGTCACGCCTGCTCACACTATCTCCAACCACCATTCTTGTTACCATCCTCATCACACCTAACACCACCACCACCATCGCCGCCATGACCAGGGCCGGATGTTGGGCCCGAGGAGAAGCGGCGTGGCAGCGGACGCCGGTCCGCAGCGCGATCAGCAGCATCATCACGAGGTGTCAATGGTGGTGGTGGTGGCGGTGGTGACGATGCACTCGTGTCGCGTTATGTGGCTTGTAGCGTGATGCCTCACCAACGCAACCCCAACACGCTACATTCCTCCTTCCGTATATGTGCGTGTGTATTTGTGGCACTGCAGCTGCAAGCGGGAGGGCGAGCATCGTTGAGCCTGCCCCCGATGCGCATCCGGAACAGCTTGAAAACTGGTTTGTGACCGCCAGTGTCAACCGCGACAAAAACACAAACAGCGACGCCGGCCTTGACCCCTCTCGCTCGCACGAAGGTGCAAACGCGTTTGTGCGTGTGCGGCTGAAACGTGTGTGTGTGTGTGTGTGTGTGTGTGTGTGTGTGTGTGTGTGTGTGTGTGTGTGTGTGTACATATGTACATGGGTCGTGTGTGTGTGTGTGTGTACGTGTGGTTGTGCACGTCTTACCATTCCCTGTGCCGCTGCTCTCTTCTCTTCCCCCTTCTCACATATTCAACCAACGAACTGACCCATGAACCCCACTGTCCCCTGCTGCCAGTTCGCATTCTCGCGTGCCACGCCGTGCTGCTGCCGGGAGAGGACGAGTGCAGATACATCTTCGAGCTCACGTCCCCCATCGCTTGGTCAACAGGTGTGTGTGTGTGTGTGTGTGTGTGTGTGTGTGTGTGTGTGTGGTTGCGAGGTTTTCTCCAGCGTTTCTTGCTTGCACACTCACGCACACACACACATGCACACACGCACACGCATACACAATTTGGCCTCCACTGTAGGCTCTCTTGGGTTTGAAGACGATGTGGAGGGAGAAGAGGATGACGACAGCAGCAGCGACCGTGGCGATGGCGCGAACACGGAAACGAAAGGCGGAGACGCACAGGACGGCGATGTGCAGTCCATCACCTCAGCCTCTGAATTGGAGACAGAGCGACCAGACGACCCGAAAGGATGGACGAAACCGCTGTGCATTGCCCTCGGCGTCAGCCTCGACCGCCTGCGCACTGAGGAGCGCGAGCTCAAGAGTGAGTTGTGCGTGTGTGTGTGTGTGTGCGTGTGTGTGTGTGTGTGTGTGTGTGTGCGTGTGTTTGTACTCGTGTATTTGTCCGTGAAGTGCACGCTTCGTTGCAAATATTTTGGAGTCAACTACTCTCATTCACACTCACGCAAACACATTCACTCACACATTCACATCCCCCTCCCCAAACACACACACATACCCATCTTTCACGTTCTGCACCAGAAATGCACGCGGCAGGAAAGCCAACGCCGCATTTTCGCTTCTTCATGACCAGCGAGGAGTTCTTCCGCACATTCAGGTTTGTGCTGCCCACATTCTCGTTTTTCTTGGTGATGTGGTGACGTCTGGCGTGGCGTACATGTGTTCGGCAGCGGCACCATTGTATGTCCGTGAATAGGTGTGTGTGTGTGTGCGTGTGACTATGTACGCGCGCGTGTACATCTGTGCGCGTGTGTTGTTGTACCATGCCGAACTTCGGCACTGCCTCACAACGTGTTGCATGCTGTGTACGCTTCCGCCCCTCCCCAACACACACCAGTTCCGTCCGCGTGTACCACAAGAGCCACCGGTACAGCCATCATGTTGTGCTGCAGCGCGTGCGCGGTCAGGGCGTGTCCTTACAGCAGCGGACTGGTGACGAGGAACCAGCACCCGTCACAGACTATGACGTGGGTTTGATCCATGTGCATGTCTTCTCTCAGTCCGCATGTGTGCGTGTGTGTGTGTGCGTGTGTGTGCGTGTGCGCACATGACCTCAATCCTATGTATTACATCGATGTATTACATGGATGAACACTGGCCGTCATCTGCTCACAGCAAACACACTCCATCCACTCACACACCCCTCACCATCACCGCCACCACCACGACCACCGCGACTGCTACCACCAGGCCATGGAGTTGCGGAATCACGAGCGCTGGTTCCTGCATGTCGACTCGACAGAGCCGTCCCTCCTCCTCCTCAACCTCGCCATCGGCCCGCCAGTCCCGCCCGCCTCAAACGTCACTCCTCCCTCCCGCGCGCCGCTGCGGAGTGCAACTGCCCTTGAAATAGTTCCCGAAGAGCCAGGCCCAGACCGCGACGTGTCGCCAAAGGGGGCGCGGTCGCGTGTAAACTCGCGTGTTAATACAATGACGGGCGCTGACGTTGCATCACTGGCATCACGCACGGGCACGCTTTCATCGCGCTCGCTGGAGCTGCCCCCGTTCCCAAGCTCGCGCCCATCATCCGCACTCGATCTCACACCAGCACACATGTCAGCAACAACAACGGGGCCCCAGGTGCGTTTGTGCGTTGAGCTGTGCTGGTTGTGATTCTGTACCTGGGTTGCTTATTTCTGGCTGTGTTTGTTTGTTTGTTTGTTTGTTTGTTTGTTTGTTTGTTTGTTTGTTTGTTTGTTTGTTTGTTTGTTTGTTTGTTTGTTTGTTTGCTTGCTTGCTTGTTAGTGTGTGCACTTGTTTGCTCCACTTGTGCAGCCGCTTGTACACAGTGCTGTGCTGCCCAGTTAACGACCTGTTAACACATGTCCGGTTCTCTTCAACCATTGCTGTGCTTGCGAGCAGGAGGGATGTGTGCTCATGCACCACCACAAGTGGGACGCTGTCACGTACGACACCGATGTACGACCAAAGTCACACAAGTGCAACGTCATTGCACATGCGTATTACATACGCTTTGCATGACCTTCGAGCGCCATATTCGTTACCCTTATCTTCCTCATTCATCGCCCCTCTCTCACACACGTGCACATACACATACCCATACACATACACATACACATACACATACACATACACATACACATACACATACACAAACACAAACACAAACATGCTGCCCTTGCTTGCGACGTTCCCCACCCCCACCAGCCTGTGGTGTATCTGCGCACGTCTTCGTCCCTCTCCGCCTTCTGCAAATTGCCCGCCGGCCGCCACATCCTCGCCGTCACCATCCAACACCCGTTTGCATGCAGTCTCTCTATCCTCGCACACAAGGTCCGTTGCACTTGTTCAATCATGTTTGTTTGTGTCTGTCTGTGTGTGCGCATGCTTCTTGCATGTGTGGGCGTGTGTTTTCGCGCATGTTGCGTCTATTCTCCATTTCAATACGTTTGTATCAGGCCCTCACTTGCTTCTGTGTGCTCCGTGCTCAACTCAACACCTCATCTCCCACCTTGGTGGCATTGTGTGGTGCAGCCCGTTGTGCTTGGAACGGCGTCAGCTGTGCTCCCTCGCCTTGCCCAGCCGAGCTGCACTATGCAGGCGTACGTCACTGCTGTCGAACAGGTCAGTTGAGGGAGGGTGTGTGTGTGTGAAAAGTGTGTGTGTGTGTGTGTGTGTGTGTGTGTGTGTGTGTGTGTGTGTGTGTGTGTGTGTGTGTGTGTGGGAGGGGGTTGACAATGAGAGTGACAGCGAAACACACGAGCACACAGTGCGCCTTGGCTCACTTCGTTTTCTGACCCCCGCTGCAATGATCCGTGTGTACAAATGTGCAGATTGTGGAGACGACGCTCAAATCACCAGAGCTGGCTGACGCAAAGCAGGTGGCGTTCGTAGCACATGTGCTACATGCACGCACGCCAACATACCAACACACCTCAGGCTGCTTCGTTTGCTTCCTTTTGTTTCGCAACTCCTCATCACATGTTCTCCAAACAACATTTCTCTGGTCTCTTAGGCTGCTTCGAATTGCGTCAAGAAACTCCACCGCCACTTTGGGTTTTATCCCGCCGAGCTCTGGGAACCATTTTCCAAGTGCATTCAAAGCGCCATTGAAATGCAAAACGTAGACGTATGGCAAAAGCGTGAACAAGGTCCGTGCAGTGGTGCTAGCGCTCTGCTCATCTTGCTCAGGCTGTTGTGTCTGGCTGTCTCGTTGTCTTGGTTTTGTTTGTTTGTCTGTTCTCGTTGTTATGTTACACGGTTTCGTTGGTTCGTTTGCTTGTGCAGGCCATCGTTGCCAGATCTTTCACTCCCTTGTCTCAGCTCACAACTCATTTGCCTTGCATCCCGTTGCTCAATACGACAGCTGTGCGGGATGTGGTTGCACTGCTTGGCAAGTGGATTGAGAGCGTGGCTCTGCCCAAGTCATCGGCGCCAAAAGGCCTTGCACCACCAGCGCTGCTTGTGCAAGAGTACAGTCATCCAAACCTACTTGCAAACGTCTCCGTGCGGGCTGATGGGTCTGTTCGCCTCACCAAAGCCGACGGCGGTGAAGGTGCAGCACACACGCTGCCCGTGTTTGGCGCGGGCCTGCAGGCTGACGTTGCTCGCCCGCAGGCGCAGACGGCTGATGGCACCGGCCGTGATGGCGACAGCAAGGAAAGTGACAATCACAGCAACGACAAGAACAAGGGTGGCGAGGTGGCAACCCAAGGTGCCAACGGCAGTGGCGACAACAGCACAGGATCGCTCACACCTGACAACGGCTCCGAGGGGGACAACAAGCAAGCACACAACACAGCAGGGAATGCTGTGCAGCAGGAGGGTGAAGGCACGGCCACATCGTCATCACGGCCAACCAGCTCGTCTCCACACAGCATCAACGTCACTGTTTCACATACCGAGGGCAACAACAACAACAACAACGGCAAGCCCGCCAACGCCACAAAACGCAGCAATAGCAACAGCCGACCAAACACACGCACGAGCACACGCAGCCGGGGTCGTGACTCGACAGCGACGACGGGCACCAACAGCGGCGGGCAGCCCGATTTCGCAGCGCAGCAGTTTTCGGAGGAGGACGAGAAGCTCAGGTGCTGTTGAGTGGGGGAGCTTGGCATTGGTTTTTCTGTTGTTGTTGTTGTTGTTTAAGTTGTTGTTAAAGGTGTTGTTGTTGTTGTTGTTGTTGTTGTTGTTGTTGTTGTTGTTGTTGTTGTTGTTGTTGTTGTTGTTTAAGTTGTTGTTGTTGTTGTTGTTGTTGTTGTTGTTGTTGTTGTTGTTGTTTAAGTTGTTTAAGTTGTTGTTGTTGGCTGTTGTTGGCTGTTGTTGTTGTTGTTTCGTGGGGCCTAGTGCATGTCACTTATGCATGCTGCACTCACTGCTGACAACACGCCTTCTGCTGCTTTGTGTTGTGATCAACAAACAGGGAGCAAGCCGCCGTGCAGATCCAGGCGGTGATGCGAGGATTTCTCACGCGAAAGCGCCTGCAGGAGGAGAGGACACAAAAGGAGATCAGCACGCTGCAGCAGGGCGCGGCGGTGTGGGATGCCCTTGCCACTCGCCAACAGAGTGAAAGCGTCATGATTGAGGCTGCCAAGATGTTCATGTCTGATGAGAAATGCCCCGCCATTCTCTCCGCGCACCCGTTTGCCGCCGACGCGGCCATGAACCTCAACGTACGCACTCCATTGTCTGTCTGCTTGTGTGTGTGTGTGTGTGTGTCTGTGTGTGCATTTGCTTGAATTTCCCTGTTTGTGAAGGGAAGTTTGCGTGTTCCTGTGTGTACCATCGTGTGGAGAGTGAGATTCCATGACCCACTATCGCCTGTACACACTTCGTTTCTCCTCACCATTGCCTCTGGCGAAATGGTTCTGCCTACTTGCAGGTCCTGCTGGCGACTGGTGACGGCGAACTGTCGCAGAATCAGCACCTCGAATTCCTCTTCCAAAAGCGCATTACTGTGGAGAGCGCGTGCTATGTTCGGTTCACGCTGCTGGTTGACACGGAGGGTCCTGAGGTGCCACCGCACCACCTCGACTCGCCGCTGCCCGTGTCCGCAGGACTGCGCATTCTCGATTGCGCAACGGGGCGCCTGGTGCGTTTGAACTCTTTCTGCAGCCGTCTGTGTGTGTATGTGTGTGTGTGTATGTGTGTACGTGGGTGTATCTGTGGGTGTGTGTATCTGTGGGTTCGTGTGTTTGTGTATCCGCATGTGTATCGTTGTGTACATGTGCTCTCGTGTGGATGTCAACGGTTCTTCGCTTGTTGTGCGTGTATCTGCCCCACTACGTCTTGCTGGATGGATAGAACGAGCTCATGTGGTGTTGTGCTTGCACGCTTGCACGTGGTCTTATGATTGACTGTTTGTGCAGTTACCCTTTGCTGGCGAGCAAACGCTGCCTGTGGAGCTGCAGCCAACGCAGCAAGGATACAAGTTGCTTGGCTGGTGTGCCTCCGCATCTTACAACGGGCCCGTGCACTGGAAGCTCCGTGTCACGTCCAAGGATACACTGCCACAAGACTTAATTGCCGACTTGCGCCCACCGACTTTTGATGACGAGCACACGTCCCCCATTATGCGCGATCGACGCCAATACCCGTGCGTACATGTGTGTGTGTGTGTGTGTGTGTGTGTGTGTGTGTGTGTGTGTGTGTGTGTGTGTGTGGATGTGTGGATGTGTGTGATGTGTCTGGGTCTGTGTATCTGTGGGTTCATGTGTGTATGCGTGTATGTGTGCATGGGAGATGCGCTTGTGTTCATGTGTTGGGGTTGTTCGGATGAGTCGGCCAGTTTCGCTGCAAGGTCATCTGCTTAGCACACACTCACTTGTCTCTGCACTGTTACAGGTTGCTGCTGCAAGTGCATAGCAAAGCACAACCCGTGCACATCTGCGCTTCATTGGACAATTCCAACGAGGGCACGCTGCTTCTTGCTGTCAAGTGCGATGGGCGGCAGCTCTTCAAGTAAGAAAGTCACGTGTGGCCACGCGTGTGTGCGAACGTCTCTCGTTGCCAGCATGTCCCCCAATTGTGTGTGTGTATGTGTGAAGGAATGCTGCAGCAAAGTTTCTTCCCCCTTGCGCAATTCTCATTGTCACGCACGACTGCACATGTCCAGGCAAACCGTGAAGCACCGTGCATTCTTTCCACTGGTGCTGCCGCCTCTTGCTGCTGATGACTTTGACGAGGACGATGACTCTTCCCAGCCCGAGCCCTCAGAGCCAGAGCCAAAGGGGAAGGTGGGATGCCTGGCTATGTGTGTATGTGCGTTGTGTTTCGTGTGTATGTGTGTGTGTGTTTGTGTGTACACGTTCTCATGGCGATTGATGGTTCCTTCCTTCAATTTCGCTATCCTTCCACCTGACACCATGACATCGACAACACCATCCGTCACTTCCTGCAGTCAAAGAGCGCCAAGAAGAAGCGAACAGCGAGCAACGCTCGCCCTGACACGCGCGCCGTGCAACAGTCTGTGCCCAAGCGCACGCTCGAGATTTCCTGTCAGCTGCTGGGTATGTTGCTTCTTGGAGAAGGGTTTGTTGTTTGCTATTCCGCGTGCCCAGTCTTCCTTTCCTGTCGACACACGCCACTCTCCCTTTCGAGTCGCCAACATCATCATCATCCTCATCATCATTACTGTCGTCATTACTGTCATCATTACTGTCATGATTCATCATGTGCAGATGTGCCTGAGGACTTTGGGGAGGAGCCATTGCCGCCCTCCGGTACACAGCGTCGCAGCAAGAGCGCAAGCATGAAGCGCACAGTGTCTGGTCCAGCCATCACCATCAAGGCCACATGCATGGTGCGTGTTGTGCTGTTGTCTTTCGAGCAGGTGTTGGCAGGATGTGGGTTGTGGTGTACCAAGTGCACTGCGAGTGAGTGCACTCCTGTTCGTGTATCTACACCGCCAGCTCACCTGTTGTGTGGGTTATGCTGTGCTCACTCATGGTCACAACCAGAGCAAGATTGAGTTCTCCGAAGACACGCGCGAGCAAGACGAGTTGAAGCAGATTATGCTTGGCTGGGAAGCAGCAGACCCCGGGCGACGCGAAAAGGCGCAGGTGTGTGTGTGTGTGTCTGTGTGTGTGTCTGTGTGTGTGTGTCTGTGTGTCTGTGTGTGTGTGTCTGTGTGTCTGTGTGTGTGTCTGTGTGTGTGTGTGTGATTCGAATGACTAGCATGTTCGTGCGAATGATTCACGTACACATTGGGTTCCTCTGCCTATCATGACCTCATTCGCCCACACATTGTCATGCACACGCACGCACACATTGGGTTCCTCTGCCTATCATGACCTCATTCGCCCGCACATTGTCATGTACACGCACGCACACCTGACGCAGACTGTGCGCGCTGAGCGGCAATCGACGGTGAACCCAGAGGAGGCGAAACGTGTCGTGCCGGCGCCGGCAGAACAGCGGCTGCAGCTCCTTGATGAAGAACTCATGACAAAGGTAGCGTGGAAACGATGCATTGTGACATATCGAGGCGACACACACACACACACACATGCAGGCGGATGCACACGCAGTTGCTCACATGTGTCGTTTTGGGCGTTGCGGTTGATTGGTCAGCGTGAACGGGAGAAGCAGAGGAAGGTGAGGGAATTCAGGGAGCAGCGACAGGCTGTGGCTGAACGAAGAGAAAAGGAGGCGGCAGAGAGGGATGTGATCAAGACGCGCACCATCAACCAAGCAACAGACAGGCGTAAACAGAACCAGCAGCTGCGAGATACGGCCGGCAAACTCAGACAGGTGTGTGTGTGTGTGTGTGTGTGTGTGTGTGTGTGTGTGTGTGTGTGTGTGTGTTTCCTGTGGTTGACCTGAGCCTGTTGTTCACGGCAATGTTTCATCTTCCACCACACTCTTCCTCGCATGGGCACGGCCCAACCCAACCCACCACCGACGCACGCAGATGTACCGGCAGCGAGTGCTTGACAAGTTGGAAGCGGAACGAAAGGCTGAGGAGGAGCGGCTGCGTCTCGAGCGCGAAGCGCAAGAGGCCGAAGCGTAAGTCAAAGTGGTCCCAGTAAGTGAGAGAGAGAGAGAGTGTGTGTGCAGGTAAGTGTACATGCATGGGGCCCATCTCGTTATAACTGATTAGGCTCTCAGGCTGAACCGAAGTAGATAAGACCGGATGCTATATCATGCCGGTGGCGGCTACACTGCTAGGACTTGTGACTTTGCCTTT